TTCAAGCACCTTATCCCAGCCTTACTAAATCTTTTCCTCTTATTTGTGTTTTGTAATTCATGTGCAATTCATACTAATCTACAGAAGAACAATATTTTTTTTTTCAGATACATATATGGAAAACAGTTTTTAAACTGTTTTTACACAGCTTTGTGGCTTTTACACTGTTCATGCAAAAGCAGGACTGAGCATTTGGATCGTATTTTAAAATCAGGATTAGAAGTTTATTGTATGTTTCTACGTTGTTCTATTTAAGCTTGATATTGATATTGATACATTCTCCCTGGCTATTTATCTTCTAAAAATAACATAAAATTCTATGAATTTGGTATTTTAGAAAGCTTTTTGAGGCTATTGATGTCTATTAACTTTAAGCTTACACATTTTATAATAGCTTAATATATCAAGAGGTAGTCAAATATTATTTTCAAGATAAAATACTTAAAGGAGAGTGAGAAGCACAAAAAAAAGATTGATTTCATTGTACTGAATATAATTTTAATTGGGCCATTAGCTGACAGAATTCTTTGCCAGCTAGGAGGAGATAAAGATATGACATATGCGCACAAAAGTGAAGGCTGGAAGATGAATAGGCCTTCTAGGGAGTTGGTCTTTACAGATCAGATAAAGATTCTTCAGGTCTCTTTCTTGCAGTCTGTGCTACATCAAAGACTGCCTTTCAGAGATAGTAACGTGCACTTGGAACCTGGGGACAAGACCTTTGAAGATGGACAGGTTGGAGATTGACAGGCAGATGGGCTTTGGATTTTGACTGTGGGGTTTTTCTTGATGGGTTTTTTTTGTGCACATTTTTTTTTTATTTAGTCTAGCAATCCCTCTAAAAGCAAAAGAAAATTTGATAGGCTGATGTAGTAAATAACACTTGCATATTTTTATATCTGTCTTTCCCAATAGCTGTTTGGCTTTAAAAGTAACAATTCCCTTAGAAAGATTTAAGGAAATGCTAGTGGCAAGTTACTCTCAACTTCTTTCAAAGTTTGTTTAAAAATGCTTGTTTGTGGACAGTGGCTGTCTTTCAAGGAAAAATTGTTCTATTGATGATCTAAATGTTCTGAAAGTTCCTGAAGATAATGCACCCTGAATAAAAGATATTTAGGATATAGGAAGGCAGGAAGCAGTTCTCATTCATTTGGGAAAAAAAAAAAAAAAAAAGTAGAAATAATTGTTTCATCTAGGGACATTTATTAAACAAATGCTTGTTTAACTACAGTGTTTTCAAGCACCTTACTTTGACATTGGCTGCTGTTTCAATACCAGTGGCTAAATCTAACATCAGCTCTTTTGATCTCTCACTTAGAAGCACCATCTCACAGCTCTTTCAGGCATCCTCCAAGAATGATAGGAATAGAATAACAGCATTTTATTAGCTTTTGCAGCGCTCTCTTGCTAGTCTTGGTTTTTCAATTTGTGTACTATTTCACAGTAATTTGAGTATCACAACCATAATCTGAGAAGTTGTTTTCCAATGGGCTGTAAAAAGCAGGGTTTTTAAAAATACCTTGAAGTAAGCAAGAATGTTTCTGTTCTGTGTTAGTTCTGTTCTTTCTCCTCTTTTTGGTACCATTCGGTTTTTCATCCCCTCTGTCTGAAAAGGTGTTAAATAGAGCTTCATGCAAGGCCTAGAAACATCTCATAGTTTTCATCTTCATGGCACTCATACAGAGACAGGGAGTAAGAAAAGATTAAAGCCTAATATTAGTTTTGCGTGTTTATCTTAGAACCATTTCTGCTTATTTTCTTGCATATAAAATACTAATCTCAGTATTTTAGCATTTGCTGGAGAAACCTGTAGGGAACTGCCATGGGTCATGGTGTTAAAGAAGGTGTTACCTTATTAAACCCTCATTGTGATGAGAGGGAAGATGGGAAATGCCAGGTGTCAGCTGGCTGTTGTGTTACTCCTCTGCTGGTGTTCTCCAGAGACTCTCCCATCAAAACAGGGAAGACAAGATCTGACATTTGCATATCTCAAAAGGAAGCAGGCATGGTTTCTTTGAGAGAGATGAAAAATTAGTCTTTCCTTGTGTCACAATAAAGGGCATAGGTAACTTGAGTTTTCTTCACAGTTGAGCTGTTTTTGACCCAGGAGTCTTGATTTCTTACTCTTGCTCTTAACAAAGCTTTCTATGTGGGAGAGTGAACATCTCAGTCATTAGACTACATGTTGCTGTAGCAGTAACATTTCTCCTTGCATAGAAATGAGGAGCTCCTTAGAACACCTTAGATTCATAAAATACTTTTAAATTCTTTTTTAATTTATTTTGAATACTCTTCCTGTATCTTTCCTGAAAATATCAAAGATACTACACAGGAGAGAAGGATTCCGATTTTCACATGCACAGACTTCCTATCAGCCAACTCATATCTTTTGAAAAAATACCTGCTTCTTCAAAAATGAAGTCCTTCCATGATCATTGTGTGATAAACTGCACGTAAAAGTTGATGAAGTCTTCTGCTGGATGTGGGCTGCGTAATGAGAGGACTGGCTGATGGTGATGTGTAGATTGGGGTTTGGTTCAGTCAAGGAATACAGCCATTTTCTTCTTATTCATCATTGTAACTGGTTGCTTGTGCTTTTATATGAAATTGGCTAACTTTAACAACTTTCAACCTTACACTCTGTACCTCAAATGACAAATTCTCATTTTGGAAGCTATTTTATAGTATAGAGAGCTGTTGAAATTGTGCAAAGTGTTATTTAGGAGGTTATTTCAGCAGTTAGGATGGATTCTAACTTAAACCTGACTGAAAAATTCTTCAAGGAGAAGAATTTGGTGTGGAATATTCTTTCTTTCTCCATTTAAGAATTCCCTCACCCCCCTAAAAAAACCCCAAATAACAAAAAACCCCAACCAAACAAAATCCTTTACTTTTTTACTTAGCTTTTAGCATTTTTGCTTTATAGTACAGATTAGCTGAAGACCACCCACATTTCATGAAGCTGAGGGATTTCAAGTGTGGCTGCAGTCCTTTCCCTGAAAAATCCATAGTAATATTTATTTTTGACACATAACCCATTTGTCATTTTGTGCATCTGTGGTAGAAACCAGTTGCATTTCACTGGGTACCTTAGGGTGGTGAAGCAGACTGTGAGGGAAATCTGAGGGCAGTGTTAACTGCTGCTATTTCCATGTGTAATAAGTGTCATACCTTGCCTTGCTACAATCTGGTGATACATGACTTAATCAACTCGAACTCATCAGAGGATAGACCAAATTTAGATGCAGACCTTGCTATAGCGAGTGAAGAAATTAGATGGACAAAATTGTTCCAGTATGTTACCAGAAAATAGAAAATACTGCAGGTATCTGAGGTGTGTGCTCAGTGCAGTCAAGGGAGAGTTGTACTGTGCTTTTTGCCAGTGTAATGCATCTAATTTTATATTATCTTATCTATTATATATTTTATTTTGTAAATGTGGTACTTGTCCACTCTGGAGGGTATCTCCAGTTGGCAGTGCCTGTAAGATGCCAATAACTTTCTACTAGCTGAGAATCATTTGAACTGGCAATAAAATGAAGGAGTGGGGACACATTTTCTGGCAACAGTGAAGACAGGATTTTTGGGGTTTTTTGTTTGTACAGGATGATTGCAAATGAAAAACAAAGGAAAAGGTCTTAAGTTTTGCTTTGTGAAATTAATCATCCCGATATTTGTTAGAGGGACTGCCCTTATGGGATCAGATAACTTAGTGGTGTCTGTCCCGGGCTGGGGCTGAGGAGAGATTCTGATAGCACCTACTCTGTGATCCCAGCTGACATGAACTTGCTGGCTATATTCATTTTGGTTGTTAGCAAGAACTGACAACTGACTCAACTGAAACGTGGCTTAGACCACCAGTTCATTTTGTGTAGGAACTGGTCTGAATATTAAAAGGACCAACAGTCTTACTGCACACATACCATTACACAGTAAAGCACTTTCATCCCTACTTATTTGTGTATACAGCCAAGCTCTTTCTCTTAAAAAGGGACCAGAACTCCCCAGAAATGGCTGCTCAAATGTTTATTGGGCTATAAGATGATTTAGTCCTCAAAGTAAGGCACTCAGCAATCAGGACATGGCTGAGTCCCCATGAACTTTGTTCACAGCAGGTAGATGCTTCTTCAGAGTGAGCTTGCTTGCTTTCAACTGGGTGTTTGCCTCCAGGGCTGCTGGCTCTGGGATGCTGTGGGCAGCTCAGCTCATATAGCTCTTGGCACCTTGTATATCGAAAATTGTAGTAAACTTCTCATAAGCATATACAAACTGTGGGGTTTTTTTTTCAAAGACATAATTTTTTATGAGGAAGGACTTGTCACCAGCCCAATGGATGTGTCTGTACAAGAGATTGATTGGAAGGCACATAATCTGATCATTCCTGTTCTCTGTGCTTTGCTTCCCATGGGGTGGAGTGGACAAACTGGATTTCTTACAAATTAATTTAAATAGGAAAAATGCTGTCTGGGAGCATGCCTGTTACTCTCCAACTGCTAATGTGTATTCCGTCCATGTGACCAGACTACAGCCAGTCCAAATTACTGAGTTTTTATGGCTCCTAAATAATCACAGGGGATGTCAGTACTTCCTATAATTGAAGCTAAATAATTTAATGTAGAAATAAAGGTACATAATACTTGTCATTGGATGGTAGATTAAATTGATACATATAAGGCAAAGTGGTGTGTGTAAAGAGAAAGTGTTTTCAGAAGGATTTTGATGGATTTTGAACAGAGCTAGAACTTCCTAAGTGACATTGGAATGAGGGTTAAGCTTTCTAATGCATGATTACAGTACTTAACATAGAAAATAACATTTTTGAAATGAGGTGGTGTGTCTTTACTCAAATACACATAACTTTCAAATAAATGCAAAAAAAAAGCATAGATATGTAGAAAATTATTTAGAGAAAACGGGTATCTGAAGAGATTAAAAACAAAATACTTTTCTTTGTGAAGAATCAGTAAAGACTAAAGTGTATGTCCTCTCTTTGTCTTCAGCGCCTCGCTAAAGAAGCAGAGAAGTACCAAGCATCACATCAGTGGAGGGATGAGTTTGGGGTAAGTTTCAGTTTTTCTTATCCTTCTCAGATTTTTCCTCTTTGAAATGTTAATTATATTCTTACAAAGGTGTTTTTTATATATCCAGCACAGAAAGAGTCATTAACTATGAATGGGCATTGTACTTCATTCAGTAAACACAGTCTCAGTCTGAGTGTCTAGAGAATAAAGTGGACTTTTCACTTCAGAAGCTCATCAGGAGCTTCACAGACCCATGGATGAAGCTCTAAGGTGTACACGAGACATCTGTTTATTTTGACATACAAGAAATGATTACAGAGAAGGCACCTGAGGGGTGGTTACTCTAAGTTAAAAGTGTGCTACTCCAAGCACTGAAACACAGAGTTGTAGAAAACATTTTTACAAGTTCTTTTTTTTTTTTTTTTTGGCTTATATGGGCCGGCCGCCGGCGGAAGTGAACCCCGCGCGCCGGGCGGGGAACGGACCGGAAGTTCCGCCATTTTCCTCACCGGGGGCGGTTGCCGGCGTCAAGAGGTCTTCACGTAGAGGGCTGTGAAGACGTCTGTATGAAAAGATCTTCATGTCTATTCCCTGGATATCTTTAAACGTCCGCACGGTGATTTTTATCAGTAAGTCTTTTTTTTTAAAAAATTTTTTCAATTTTTTTTTTTTTTTTTTTTGGCTTATATGGTGGAAAAAAAGTAGTAAAAAGCTTAATATAGAAGGATTTGGTTACCTATATGACTGTCTATATAGAGAGTCATAGACTATTTTTTTAGATACCTTTTCCATACTTTAATAGCTACATGTCTTCTCTTCAGTATTCTAGCACTACTGAAAGAGGCCCTGACCTAGTCAAACGCTTCTTCAGTCATTTCAGACTTCACTGAAAAACAAGTGAGATGATTGTAAAATGTACAACATTATTTTTTTTATTATTAATCAAGCCAAATTAATATTGTGCTGCATGATTATAAGCCTGTTAATTTTAGGCTACAGTTCCCTGCAAAGTGTCAAAGTCATTTATTATGCCTTTATCACCTGTTCCTTCAGATATAAAAGCAGATGGTGTTTTTACATGATGCTGTTACAAACCTGGTCTGTGTTTGCATATCCGCTAGAATCACAGCGGCACACAGTTAAATGCACAAAGGTTTTCTATGATGTCCTTTCTGATCTAGTGTTCTTCACACACTTGAAGATCTGAAAATAAACAGAGAAAAAAAAACCCTAAGGTCAAACCAAATAATTCAGATAGAGTGACTGGCGTTTAGGAGAGCAAAGAGGGTCTGGACACAGCCTGAATGCTTTTAAGTGTGCTGTCTGCACAGGCACAGCTTCTAATACATGGTAAAAAAAAGAATCCATATTCCATAGGGATGCAATAATGAGAATGCCACAGTGACCTTTTCTGCTGATCTGTCTCTGGTTTGAATAGAAAACAAAATCTGCAGGTTTGATGGACTCCATGCAGACCAATGTGAATATAATCAGATGCTCTTCCTCATCATTTTCTTCTTACTGTACACATTGGTACCAAATCAACACCACCATCTCAGCTGTTGGTTGTCTTTTTGCCCTTTACTTGCAGTAGAAGTCAGTCATACCAGAGAGGCTTCTGGTCTTATCAGAATTCGTTGCCAAGGAGAGATCTCAAAGTAATTTTGAAATGTGATTTTATAATAACGTTGTGGCTCAGGCAAAGACTGTGGTCAGAATAAAATAAAAAAAAATACAGTTGGATTTATAATAAAGTAACTGCAAACTGAGCTTGTGCTTTACTGTTTTGAATTTGGATGAGAACAGTGTGCACCATATAATAACCTTGACATTAGGTTATGCAATTAAATTTCAAATAAATGTATTAAGCCTCTTATAATTTAATTTGTTCCATTTTTGCCAGAAGTAATCTTTCTTCTCTTCTGGCCTACTTTTTTAGAAAATGCCTGCTCAAATTAGTTTGCACACAGATCTTCCTGATAAACTTAATTTTCCCTGGAAGATTCATTCTCTTAATGGCTGTGATGGAAAACAGAGAATATACCGTAAAACTTTCTGCGGATGAGGGTTCTTAAAGTACTTCTGATAGCATTATGAATGGTCTACATTATGCTGTACAAGGTTTATTTCTTAGCCAGGATTTGGTTTTGGGTGATGAAAGCCCTTCCAGCAGCATTGCACATGAGTCATTGTAGATACAAACTCTTTGGGACAATCTATTTCTGCTTCTAATGAGCTCATGATCAGCAATGTCCTTGACAGTCAGATTGCAGCCAAATAATAGCCTATGGAGTTTTCAGGAGAAAATATCACAAAAATTCCTTCTGGGGAAGTACATATGGGCTGACTTCAGTGGACTAAATCCAAAAGAGGAAGGGCAAAGATGACTGGCCAAAATACCAAGGTCTATATAGAGCTATAAGGGATGTGTCAATCAAAAGACTGCCAGAGTGCCTGTTCTAACAACTTATTCAAAATATGAATGCTTATTAGAATTATAGAATAGTTTGGGTTGTAAGGGAACTTTAAAGATCATCTAGTTCAACTCCCCTGCATCAAGAAGGGGAGTTATTGCAGAGTTTACAGCAAAATAAGTGTATTAAAGACTTTAAAGACTTTATTTGCAAGTTAATGTCAAAGTATAATAAAAATTCAGCGTCCTCAGGTATGGTCTTTTGAAATTAGCTAGTACAGAGAAAAATCTTTGAAGATCCAAATTTGGTCCCACAGCCTCATTTGTGATATTTCAGCTAATAATTTCATGTAAAGTCTGTCAGAATTGTCTAAAAGAGAGAATTTGCTTGCCTTTCAGGAAAAAAAGTTCAGACTAAGCCATTAGTAGAAACATTAATCCACATCTATTAAAATCCTTTTTTCCTACTATTACTAATTGCATGAGAGTAGAATTTCTTCCAATACTTATAGTACTATAGTATATTAAATTCCAGGCACTTTAAGAAGACTGCTGGGTGCAGTACCCCAGGTGGGGTCTCACAAGAGCAGAGTAGAGGGAGAGAATCACCTCCCTCAACCTGTTGGCTGCACTTGATGCAGCCCAGGGTGCAGTTGGCTTTTAGGGCTGCAACCACACAATGCCAGTTCATTTTGAGCTTTTCATCCACCAATACCCCCAAGTTCTTCTCCACAGGGCTGTTCTCAATCCAGTCATTGCCCAGCCTGTATCTGTGTTTGGGATTGCCTTGACCCACATGCAGGACCTTGCACTTGGCCTTGTTGCATTTCACAAGGTTGGCATGGGCCCACCTCTCAAGTCTGTCCAGGTCCCTCTGGATGGCATCCCTTTCCTCCAGCTTGTTGACCGTGCCGCACAGTTTAGTGTTATCCACAAAGTTTCTGAGAGTGCACTCAATCCCACTGTCCATGTTGCCAACAAAGATGTTAAATAATACTGGTCCCAATAAAGATCCACCAAGTGGTTCACACATCAAATCCATGTCTCTCCATTTTGAAGACAATGATGTTGTGTGGGACAATATCAAATGCTTTGCACAAATCCAGGTAGATGACATCAGTCACTTTTCCTTTCTCCACTGGTGCTATAACCCGGTCGTAGAAGACCACCAAATTTGCCAAGCCCTTAGTGAAGCCATGTTGGCTGTCTCAAATCACCTTCCAGTCCCCCATGTGCCTTAGTATACTTTCCAGGAAAATCTGCTCCATGATCTTGCCAGGATCAATAGTAAAAGAAATTTTTACTAAAGTTTAAGTATTTTAAAATTCTATTTTGGTTTTATCTAAAATAAACTGCTCATGTTTACCAAACCAAAAATAGCCATGAACATAGAAATCTCAGACTCATATTAATTTGAACCTGGGGAGCTGTGGCCCAGCAACTTACTGGGCACCAAATATCTGGCATTAGCTAAAGTACTTTCATATTCCTACCCTTCTGTCGCCTTGCATAGATTTCTAAATACACAGTTTGACACTGGGGGCTATATATATTCTTTTTATTTATAAATAAATGCTTGTCAGGTGTATATTGAATGTCTCAAGAGCAAAAATAAAAATGTAGGATTATTTAAGAACACGTCTTACATATTTACTGTTAGTGTTTAGCTAAGTAACAGAAATAAGTATCATAACAGATTTTGGTATTTTGCATTGATAATTAAATGCCAAAATAATTTTGGCAATTGCTGTTTAATTTTCTAAAAAGTACAAAGTTATTCAAAGGAATATTAATTAAGAATATTAATTAAGAATACTGAGTAAAAAGGAAAAAAAAAATCATTAATATTTGATTGTAACGTGTTGTTTCCTGATTAAGGACAAAGTCAATTGAAATATCTGAACTGCAGCTTACATCTACAGCCCTAAAATAATACTTACCTGTTAGAAAACTAGTAAGTCTTTAGAGGACATTTGTGAAGTTTATGAAGGCATATCCAAAGGACTTCACTTCAGGCAAATAAAGAAATCCCATTCTCTGCTTCCTACTCCATCAGTATTGCCAAATTCCCTGGCTGCGTGTGCAGCTGGAGAAATAAAATCTACTTAAATGTTTTTAGATTAATGCAGTTACAAATCAGAGGTACAAACCAATATTTCTAAATGAAACAGCCTTGTCAGTTTGAATTTTCTTGTATGCTGCAGAGTGAAAGGAGGGTGATTTTGACACTTGTGATGGTCCAATTATTTCTCTGGCATAGAGATGCATGAAAAAAAATTGTACGTGAATTGGAAGGAGGAGGAGAGAATTCTCTATGAAATAATTGCTGTTATTCCCCAAACAATCTTCTACAATTACGTTTGATACCACATTTGATTGCCTTGCAATGGTTGGTTAACTAAAGCAATTTTGTTTCCAGTTGGGTTGAAATATTAATTGTACTTACACATGTATAAACATAAGGGATATTTCATTTGTATTTTAACAAGGGGTGTCTTTATGGATGGTCTATTAGCATCCACTTATTTATATGAAGACTGAAACTCAGACTTTTAGGAATTAATTATCACATTAAAATGCCACGTGAAAAATCCTTTCAATATACCTTATCTTTTAACCAGTAGTG